GGTGGGAGATGCCCCATCCCTGGGAACATCCCAGGCCAGGTTGGATGGGGCTCTGAGCAGCCTGGTCTGGCTGAAGATGTCCCTGCTCACTGCAGGGGGGTTGGGCTGGGTGGCCGCTAAAGGTCCCTTCCAACCCAAACCAGTCTGTGATTCTGTGATTGTAGAATTCTGTCCTCCAAACGGCAGAGCTGTGCTTATGCTGTAGGCTGGATTTTCTTTTTTTTTTTTTTTTCCTTTTCTGTTTCTTGTTTTCCTGGCTTTGATGTTTTTAACCTAAAAAAGGGGAAAGGGATTGTCTGTACTGAGGTGCTCAGACAGGAGGATGTGCAGCAAGCTGTCTGAAAGCAGACTGTCACTTAAGAGGTGACCCAAGCATACTCACAGGCTCAGCATCCCTCTGCTTAGAATAGTCCTTGCTTGCTACCTCTTGTCATTAACACTGGATTAACCAGGAGAGTAATTAAACGCTGATACAGCTTGTCTGTGGATGTGATGGATTCTGTGTCTTTTGATATCCTTGTCATGATGCAGTGTTCTCTAATTCAACCACAACAGCTTCAAATCAATGCTGTGTGTGAGGCTCGGTGCCTGTCTAATGCAGGTCAGCCTGAATCATCATCCCTTGCGATGGCAGAACACGTGGATGTTTTATTAAAAAAAAAAAAAAAGGAAAGAAAGGAAAAAAAAAGTGGTGGTTGCTAGAAGTATGCTCGCCTACAAAGCGTCTTGCTCACAGCTGTGGCTTAGCTGGGATATTTTTCTGCGTTTAACAAGGAAATGTCAGGAGAGCCAAGCCTGAGCTTCCTGGTTTTTGCTGAAGGCCTGGGTCCTGGAGCACCCTTAGAGCTCTTTAGCTGCAGTTCTTGCTGTGGGTAGGACGTTGGATGTTTAGCAAAGGCTTCTCTTCTCCAGAACGGCAGTCGTTGGAAGCAAATAGGTGTTAAAAAAAAAAAAAGCCAAACATCTCCAACAGTGGTGCGAGAGCCCTGCTCCTTGGTTGTGAGGCCTTAGAGCTCTTTAGCTGCAGTTCTTGCTGTGGGTAGGACGTTGGATGTTTAGCAAAGGCTTCTCTTCTCCAGAATGGCAGTCGTTGGAAGCAAATAGGTGTTAAAAAAAAAAAGCCAAACATCTCCAACAGTGGTGCGAGAGCCCTGCTCCTTGGTTGTGAGGCTGTCGTGTTCTTGGCTGCTGTGATGCACTTCTGCACGCTGTCCCCAGTCTTGGTAGCCTTCCAGTGCATATGGGCTGGTGGGGGCAGAGAGAGAGACGCCTTTGGCCTTTCACAGAGCACAGAGAGGACGCTCGTTCACAGCTTTGTCCTTTGATGGCAGTGGGAACCATCTGCAGTTAGAACAGCTCTGTTTGCCTAGGAGAAGACCTTGCAGCGTATCCCTGCAAATTCAGATGCTCATTATTTCTGTGTAGCTTGGCATCCACGTATTGCTCTGGTTTCTTCTGTAGTTCACAGTTTTCTCAGTGATCTGGCAATTTTACCTGCAGTTTCTTGCCAAAAAGGGTCTACCACAGTAAGCCAGATGTGCTGAAATTCGGAGATGTAGATATGGTTCTGACCATCACCTGCAATAACTGATCTCCTTCAGGGTGCCAGTTACAACCCCATGATGCCCAGGAGCAACATAGGAGTTCTGTAAGCACCATCCCTAATAATCAGCTTCTACTGCAGTGAGTAGGTTGTTGTAGTTACAGCAAAATCTACTGCTGCAGAAATTTATCTCTGACAAAACAGAAGTTCTCCTGTGAAACCACTCCAACCTAATGGATATTTTATTGGTTTTAAAAAATGTAATACTGGAAGCTGTTTTCCCTTTGCATCTGAGTGAGGAACAAAGTCTGAGAACCTACTAGAGACATGCTTTCAAGTCTCCTGAACATTTTTAAGCAGATATGTGAGTGTTAACCTTATGCAGCTTGCCGGCATTTCTGCTGGGCGTGCTGTGACCAAGTGTAAGCTCTGAAACTGAAGAGCCATTGAAGATGAGGCAGAAGAATGGGCTGTGTGTTGACAATTTGTAGAGTTATTTCTCATACCCAAATAAGAGGAGTCGCCTGGCTGTCCATGAGAAAGAGTCTTGCAGTTAGCTCATGTGAGAACGCCTTAGTGCACGGTGCGTTTCACGTGGGAAGCAGAGTGTTACATTCACAGACTCACGGAATGGCTGAGGTTGGAAGGCGCCTCTGGAGGTCATCTGGTCCAGCCACTGTGCTCAACGAGGGCCACCCCGAGCTGGTCGCCCAGGACCATGTCTAGATGGCTTTTGAATATCTCCGTGGATGGAGACTCCATAACCTCTCTGGCAACCTGTGGCAGTGCTCGGTCACCCTCGCAGTGGAATAAAGTGTTCATATGATGTTCACAGGGAACCACCTGTGTTTCAGTTTGTGCCCCTTGCCTCTTGTCCTGTCATTGGGCAGCACTGAAAAGAGCCTGGCTCCAACATCTTTGCGCTCTCCTTCAGGTATTTAAATTGATTGATAAGGTCCCCCCAAGGCTTCTCTTCTCTGGGCTGAGCAGTCCCAGCCCTCATGTGAGAGAACCTTTCATCACGTGAGAGATTCTTCAGTCACTTAATCATCTTCATTGCCCTTCATTGGACTCTCTCCAGTATACTCATGTCTCTCTCCAACTGAGGAGCACCCCGAACTGGACACGGCATTCCAGGTGTGGCCTCACCAGTGCTGAGCAGAGGGGAAGGATCACCCCCCTCAGCCTGCTGGCAATACTTTGCCTAATGCAGCCCAGGACACCATTAGCTTTCTTTGCGGCAGGGGCAACTTGGGTTAAGCTTGCCATCCACTAAGACCCCCAGGCCCTCTTCTGCCAAGCTGGGTGGCCCCCAGCATGTGTTGATGCATAGGGTTGTTCCTCCCCAGGTGCAGGACTTTGCACTTCCCCTTGTTGAACTTCAGGAGGTTCCTGTCAGCCCGTGTCTCCAGCCTGACCAGGTCCTTCTGGGTGGCAGCGTGACCCTCGGGCACATCAGTCACTCCTCCCGGTTTGGGGTCATCTGCAGACTTGCTGAGGGTACACCCTGCCCCATCATCCAATTCATAACTGAAGATGGTGAACAGGACTGGGGCCTGTATTGACCCCTGGGTTACACCACTAGTTACTGGTCTCCAGCTGGACTTCATGCCACTGTTCACCATCCTCTGGGCCTGGCCGGTCAGCTGGTTTTCCACCCACCTCTGTCTGCTCATCCAGCCTGTACATCAACAGCTTCTCTATGAGGGTCTTACGGGAAGACAGTGTCAAAGACCTTACTGAGGTCCAGGTATCCACTGCTCTCCTCTCATCTACCAGGCCAGTTATTACATCGTAGGCTTTTATCAAGTTGATCAAGCATGACTTGCCCTTGGTAAATCCATGCAGACTGCTGATGATTTTCGTGTCATTCATGAGCTGGAAATAGTTTGCAGGATTAGCTGCTGCATCACTTTCTCAGGGATTGAAGTGGGGCTGATTGGGCTGTACTTCTCTGGGTCCTTCTCATGCTCCACGAAGATGGGAGTGGCATTTGTTTTCCTCTTCAGGGAAGTCTTCAGGCACTTCTCCCGTTCGTCATGACTGAGCAAATATTATCAAGAGTGGCCTTGTAATGACACCTGCCAGCTGCCTCAGCACTCATGGGAGGAGGGACTCCTGCACTCCAGGAACCTCGGGGATTGCTGATGTCTTGCTGCCTTGTCCCAGCAGCAGACTGAGGGTGGTTGAAGTCCCTGAGGACCAGGGCCTGCGAACATGAGGCTGCTCCTGTCTTTTTACAGAGGGCCTGACCCACTTGTTTCTCCTGGTCGGACAGCCTGTAGCAGACACCCACTGTAGTGTCAGCTTTGCCTGTCCTCTATTGAATCCTCACCCATAAGCTCTCAGCAGGCTCCTCATCTATCCCCAGGCAGCCCTCCATGCGCTCCAGCTGCACTCTGACATAGAGGACAATTCCTCAAGGGGAGGGGGAAGGTCTTGTTCTCCTTCTTGGGAGCAGGATGTTATGCCGTGTAACTGAACTGCTTCCTGAACTCAGGGGTGTGTTTGCTTCCGTTTGTAAGAACTTCTTTGCTTTTCCTTGCTGAGCTTCAGAAAGAGATTGCAAAGTCTGGTATTTCTTCTGCGTTTTAGTGACGTAGGGAATTCTTGATTTTTTTGCAGTGATGTCATGTGAACATCTCCCATTCCCTACTCCATAATGTCTCTGAACAGTGGAGCGAGAGCTGACATGGAGCAGTAATGTTAGAAAAACACACTTTTTTTTCCCCTGAAGCGTGCTAGCAGTGAGGAACGTGCTCGTGCCTGTGGAACGAGGCTGCTCTTGCCGAAAGATCGGACTGCTGCCGAGACTTTCAGCACTTACTGACGTCTCTTGGTGTTGCTGCAGCTAAATCCCAGCACAGATCTACGGAGATTAATGGAGTCCTGGGTTATGTTTGATGGCACATTGTACTTCTCTAGCTTGCAATAAAGAGAACTTCCCAAATCAGTTTCCTTACTGGTTAATTAGGAAGGCGTTCAGTCTCCCAGTTTGCTGTTTCAGAAATTAATGTGCTGCTCTTTAGCCTGATGCCCTGAGCCAGTGCGTACGTGACTGCACCGGAGGAGCTAATCTGGCTCCAGACAGGCTCCCCTCTCCCCTCCTGCTGGGTCAGGCTGGCCCAGGCCCGTGGTGGGCCCTAGGTGTCTGAAAGTGAGTTTCTGCTCTGTCTTCTCAGCACCACTACACATTTATCTTAAACATTGATTAGGTTTCCTTGTCCTTACATCTGAAGGGCTTTGAACAGGTTCTTTGCTTTTATGCCATCTGTTATTTATACAGTGGTACCCAGCTGCTCTAGACCAAGGGAGGGAAGCCGAGGACACTGTTTGGTTCACACTAGAAGACCCCTGTCTTCTAGAATATAGTCATATATGTGATTCCCTCAGCTCATCTGCTTGATTAGAGTTTGGGGTTTTCCTCTTTTCCTCGCCCCAGAAAATGATGTGGCAGGAGGATTCTGCTGGCCGCACAGCAGGGCTGGTGGAACGCGGTCGGTCCAGGTTGGAGACTGCGTGCTCAGGTTGCAGCAGGATTTGTTTTGTCATCAGCAGCCGTTCTGTGTACACGGAGGAAACCCTGATGCGCTCTTTGATCAGTAGCTCCGACGCAGACCTCGGCGAGCGTAGTCGGTTTTGGTGGGTACCTGCGCCTGCGAACGCGTTGGCTCAGTGCTATCGCAGGCTTGGCAGCGTGTCAGGTGTTGGAGAGAGTGGTGCAATGTGCTTGGGTTTGCGTGCTCTGAATTCCTTCCAGCTGGAACTTCAGGACCACAAGCTGATACTAATTTTGCATTGTCAGACCTTGTTTATACTGCAGCAGTGATTTTCCTGACGTATATTCACTCCGTTGCTTTGCTCTTCAGCCGTCGCTCGACAATTTGTGTGGAAGTTATAGATGGAGGCAGTGCAAAGGGAGATGACCCACTTTGTGTGGGCGTGTGTACACACGTGGATGGTCTGTTCGGACTGGGAGTGCTTTAAAGGCTGCAAGTCTTGTATAGTGTGCAGCAGGAGGACAGTGGCAGCAATGTCTGAAGAGTCCCTGTGCTTAATAGAGCAGTGATCTGTTAAAGAAATGCAGTGTCACTACTTCAGAAGAATATCCTGCCATTTCTAGATGCAGCTCCATTTTCTTTTCAGCGCATTTCAAGAGGAAACCCTGCCAGTGCTTCGCAGACCTCAGAAATCACTCGTAATTCCTCCAGCCTTGGAGGCTGTTTTGGGCACCACTTTTCTTCTCCTTTGTGTGGAATGGGCTCTTTGCCTCCTTTCTGGCGTGGTATGAGAGCAGCACTGTTAGTGGTGAAGGGGCTCTTCAGAAGCCTGCCTCTGCTTAGCTGGGAGCTGTGCTGCGAGTCCTGAAAGCAGCGGGATCCACACCAAAAGCAGCAGGAGGGACTGGGCGTTAGCACTGAGCTTGGCTCTCTAACCCAGACAGGCACTAACTGTGACCGCCTGCACTGTGCTGCACTGGTTGTGGTAAGCGTGGTGTCCCGTATGTCACAAACAACGCCATTATCCGGTGCCAGGTGTACTAATTCTGTAAAACTAATTTGTAAACCAGTAGCTAGCCTTAAGAAGAGCCAGAATGAGGAGGACGATCAGCTGGACTGCGTTAGGGCCTCAGCATCTCCCGTCCCATCAGCACGCCATCTTACACTGTCTCTTCCAGTGCTGACTGTGTGCTAGCGACTGGGAACGCCACCTTCTTCCAGATTAAGGATTTTAGGGTTTTGTGATTCCTGTTGTGCCTCTAAAATCTAATCTGTTCCAAGCTATAATAATTTTTATTGTCACTACTTAAAAATGAAGGCTGTGTTGGTACGATCCATATCAAGTCATTAAAAGGGCAGTGACCGCTGTGTATGGTAGGTTGTCAAGAAGGGACTGGATATCTGCTGCAGATAAAGCAAATAGAATGAGGAAAGGTAATGCAAAGGTTTGTCAGCCAAGACTGGGGAAATACCTGTATTCCTGACGTGAGCAAATCCTTCAGCAAGCGTTAAAATTGTGGAGTCCTGCGGGCATTCAGACAGGAATCCTCAGCTGGTAATTTCGGCCGCGACTCTCTCTATCAGAAATCCTCTGAACACAAAACTGTGTTACATCCAGGGAGTCTGACAGACTCCTAGCTCTAAAAGTATGTCCTTAGGTTAATTTAATTTGGGGAATGTTAAAGCATGGTTCTGGTGTCTGGATAGCTGCCTGCTTCAGGGAGCACCAGAGAAACAGAAATAATTCCAGGAAACTAATAGCGGCAAGTGAATTCCCATAGTAGTGGCAGTGTGTGATCAGGTTTAATTACAGGATGTGGGGATTAAGGGAGGCAGTTCCCACGGTTTAATTGGCTGATCCTTGCATGTTGGACCAGAGATGTTCTGACAGAGCTGAAGTTTTTGCAGGGCACAGGTCCAGCCGAACGGGGCAGCGGCTGGGCAGCATGCGGGGCAAGCCTGGCAGCGCAGCTGCCCCGGGCTGAGCGATGTCGACCCTGAAGTTGGCCGGAAAAGCCAGGCGAGCGGCAGTCTGCTTCCAAGCGCAGGCACGGCTGCCCTAGCACATCCTGGGGGTGCTGTGTCTGATCATTATCTGTCTCGCAGTGATGGAGAGGCACCCGGGGGGAACCCCATGGTGGCAGGTTTCCAAGATGACCTGGACCTGGATGACAAAATCCCCAGCAGACCCATGCTGACAGCAGAACGGGTGCCCAGCAAGAACATCACCCTCTCCAGCGAGGAGGAGGAAGAGGAGGAGGTGAAGGACTCCAAGGTTGTACTCATACCTGATGAAGACGTCAGCTCAGAGCAGGAAAAAAAAAGGTACAAAGAACAGCCTGAGGTGTAGGGCTGTGCTGGCAAACTGGGGCCTCTTCTCGGTCCTCCCACTGACTTCTGTGCGGCCTCTGGGAGATCTTGGTGTCTCTGTTGGCCTGTTCCCTCAGCTGTGAGCTGGGGCTGTATTTACTTTAAGAGTGGCTGCTTTGTGCAGTGTTTTCTGCACCGCTTCTAGGCAACGTGGCTTTGAGCACCGAGCTCATGTGGTCACCGGTGCGTGTCTGCTTGGGAATGGGCCCAGCCTCTTTCTCCAGTTTGGACAAGAGGCTGCAATGAGCGCCTGAACGTCTGTTTGTAGTGGTGTGAGGAGGACAGAGGAGTCGAGTCTTGTGGTGAGGGGAGTGGAAGTCATTCACCACACCCTGTGCTGCAGAACGATGAACTGGGTTACGTTCTCCACATGCCGCATCTTGTCGGTGATGGCCAGGCGTGGTCCGCTGGCGCCGGCACCTGCGTGTGAGCATCCTCGGGGAGAAGGGCTGTCCCCAGCCTCCAAGCAGTGTGTGTTGGACCGCGCACACCCCCCCAGCCTGGGCTGCCTCTCCTGCTGAGATGCGCGTTGCAGCCCTTGAGGCAGGCTCAGCTATTGGTTGGTGCTTGTGCTTTGCTTCACAGAGTGGGAGTGTGGACAGGCTCTGACAATTTGTTTTGTTCTTCCCAGGTCTTCCAGAAATTCTCTGAAACCACAGAGTGAAGCAATTTTGACCAAAGCAACTGACCCGAAGCCTCCTGACAGTTTACCTCCACGTTCTGGGTCTGAAAGAAACAGCAGCAGCAAGCTCAACAGTAGCCTGCCAGCTGCTGCTGCGCCCACCCCAGCAGTGGTCCAGACCCCAAAGACTACTTCCCACAGCAAAGGACACGCTCTCAAGCAGAAAGTGGTCAAAGAGGAAAAGCCTGAGGAGTCTGACAGTGATCAAGAGGGACCAATAGCTACTCAGATGCTCTCATTTGTTATGGATGACCCAGACTTCGAAAGTGAGGATTCTGACAGCCAGAAGAAGAAAATGGTAAATAACATGCATGAGTCGCTGTGCGCTGCTGCAAAGCTGAGCTTGAAGTGTTGAGGCATCTCCCTGAGCAGAGCTTTCATCTGCTCTCCCATGTCTCAGCGGCAGTCGTGGCAAGGCGGGTGCTAAGCAACCTGGAGAGATTGATATGAGCACAAACCCACTAATGCTCTGACTGTTGAAGCCACAGGGCAACAAGGTTTGTGCTTATGGGTTTTAATGTGCTGTTTAAGCTCAGTAAGGCCAAAGCACCGTCAGTCCAGCAGTGTGGAAGGTAGAAAATACAAAGCTAATGGTTTTTCACCCAAAGTTTAACGTGTACAAGTGTGTGCGTGGCAGAGGGAGAGAACAAGTGAGCTCCCTACAGTCAATCCAGCAATCAAAAGGCTGTAACAAAATTTGCTTGGCAAAGCTTCTTACTGGAGTAGAAAAAGCTGACAGAGAAGGACTTTCCGGTGTAGCCAGGCTAGCTGTAATGTCTCTGACACTGAGCACATGGGCAGCTGCTCGGTGCTCTCTGCGCAAACACACAGCGCAGCAGGAGTCCCCTCTGTACCCGTCGTCTGTTAAAGGTGGAGAAGACACTAAGCATCTTCTCTGGCCTGGTAAGAACTTGCTGCTGTGGCTCTGGATATCCCTGATTTCAGTGAGCTGCACTCGCAGCCAAGCAGAGCAATCCCTGGAAACTGCTGACTGATTTGGGATGGGCAGTTGCTGTTCAGGGGGACTCCTGGTGTCTGGGTTAGCTGGTGTTCAGGAGTGTTTTATGTGTTTGCATCACTGCAGAATCCTGATGAAAGGACAGTTGTCCCGGTTTCCTTGACCTTGCGTGTGTGTCATGCTGTTTATTAAGGAATTTTCCATCTGTTTAGCAGTTTCAGTACCTCCTTTTCCTGGCACTTCAATGTGAAAGCAAAAGTATTTGCAGCAAGTTTACTTCTCTTAGCATGCAGTGACGAGAAATGGGATTTTTGAGGGAGCTTGCCGTTGCAACAGCATCAGGGAGATGCCCCACAACTTGGGAATGCTTTCCGAGGTCAAGGTTCTCCAGTCGGGCAAAGCAGTAGAACCACCACCGTTAGCAAGGAGGGGGCATTGCCTGGGTCAGCAGCAGAGCGAGGCCGTCTTTGGTCAGTTATGGAGGACATAAAGAAAGGGTGGTCAACGAATTCTGCAGAGGATCAGTTGGCAGGTACCAGAAGATCATTAAACTTCATTTCCGTTCCCATCATGCAGAGACAGAGGATTTTGGGGTGATAGCCAGTCTCTGCAGCACCCTGGTTTTCAGTCCAATGTGAAGGGGCAGATTTGCCCTGGGAGCACGTTCCCTTTGAACGCTGTGAAGGGAGTTATTCTGCAAACACAGCCGGCTTCCTTGGCCCTGCTGCGTGCTGCATCTGGTACGTGAGACCCCACAGAGCTACACAGGAAAGGGGTTTTGTCTGGTGGGTCTGAGGTGAGTTTTCAGCCTGTTAGATTTGACTTTCCCCAAAACAGAGGTGCCTCTCCAGGGCAGTCAGAGGCCAATGCTGTTGAGCTAACACAGTTGAAAGTCTCGTTTAATCCCTTTACATCAGAAATTTGATTTTGGCAGCACAAATGTGAAGTTGTGAGAGCACACTTTCCGGTACCCGTGCTGCTGAGGCATTTTACCGAGGCAAGAAATACATCGAGCTTAGAAGATCAAGAGCATTGATTTCCAGGCAAGAACAGCTCAGTTCAGCTACCACTGCCTTCGCTCCTCCCCACTGCTGGCGTCTGACGCCTCTGTATACAAAATGCTTACGGATTTTGGTTGAAAGGTTTGTCTGTGGTGTCTGCTTTTTGTTGTCTCTAGGATGAATTCCCAGTCCGGGAAGATCTCTCCGAAATATCTGATGACGATACCTCGTTGGCAAAGCCACCCCAGCCTGTGAAATCAACAGTCCACTCCTTTAAACTGAAAAATGACTCGGATCTCTTCGGTTTGGGTTTGGAAGAAACTGGTCCCAAGGAGAGCAGTGAGGAAGGTAAAAGTCACACATTATTTCCACTCTGGCTGATTTTTCTTTGTCAGGCATCTGTTTTTTCCAAAATTGTTCCAGGGTGTAAGCAAACCAATTTGCACTAAATAAAATACCCTGTAACTTCATGCAGTGCCCTGTGTGAGTCTTTAATGTGGTTTAACACAGCATAAATAAATTGAAGTTTTTCCCCATGGGGAGGGGGGGGACGGGGCTCATCCGTGGCATCAGCTGAGTATTATTTCTATCCCAGCTGGAAGTGGGAGCACATCTTTCACCAGGTGCTTCTGTGTAAGGCTTGCTGCTTAGCCTTGCATGCCTGGGAAGGGGTGCTCAGCATTGCAGTGTCCACCCCCTCAAGAATTTGGATCAATCTGAGCAAAATGCTCTGACATACCCTGCCAATTTGCTCTTCTATTTTTGGGAAAGGTAGGGTGGGGTTCTGCTCACAACTGAAGCATTCCTCAGGCTTTTCTTTTTTTCCCCATCCCCCGAGGGAACAAATCTTACTCGTGCAAATAATTTCTGCTGTCTTGGCATTACTGCAAAGCAATTTCCTATAGATCTGCCCCAATGTCACCACGAAAGATGACAAGTTAAAGACTTAAGGGGAGAAAAAACTGTAAGCGACACCAGAGAGAGATCTCTTTGAATAGCTATTCCAAAAGTGTGAGCAAGGTGTCACAGGCTGTGATGGCTTCATCGGCTTGTTGCTGGGAGTTGCTGAACAGCACAGCTTGAAATAGCTAGAAGTGGATCTGCAGAGGCCCAGGTCAATAACTTAACTTCCGTTTAGCATCTTTAATAATTCAGCGTGGGTTCCTCCTGTCTCCTCTCTCTGGGATAAATATAAAAACATATCTTGGTAGTCAGTTAGTTGCAGCTTGACCAGCAATTAGGCTTCTCCATGGCTGACTTGTATTTACAGATCGACCAAGGAGCAGAACGTGTAGGTAAGATTGGCAATTAAATACTGCACGTGAAACACGGTGCAGTTGTCAGCCCTCCTGTGAAGCAGCCAACTAGATACTTTCCTGTTCAGGGAGGTTTGGGGCAAAGGCAGTGGATGTTCAGCAGTCTGATTAGCAGCCAAGTTATCAGCCACAATAACCTGGGACAAACTTGACAGTGATGGACTCTGGGACTCGTGATACCGTGAAAGCAGCCACCCCTGTAGAGCGGGGCTGTGGCACTGGTGCTTTGGCCTCGTGGCGATGTAATTTCCAGCAGCGAGTGCTGGCCTGCTAGGGTGCTCCCATCTGCTGACACCGTCTCCTGAACGGTGCTTCCATCAGCAGCTCGACTCAGAAGCACAAACCGTGCCGGGTGGCGTTTCCATCTGCCTTTGAATATCCAGTGGTCTGAGGGAAATTGTTGTCAGGAGCTCTTCTTCAGTTCTGGCAGTAATAATCTAGTCCCCAGTTCGGCCTTTGGACCGGTTTGTAGAGCCGGTCTCTGTGTTTATTTCTTAGTAGCTGTGATACAGTGAACACCCAGGCCAGTGTTCATAACGCAGGATAACATAGATACATCCAGTTTACTTATATTATCTGGTTAACTTAGGCTGTGACTGCTGGGGCCTGTGTTGGTTTCTACAGGGTCATGGGTTGTCCTGAGGAGTCAGGGTTGACTTTGCATATGGCTCCAGGGTCCACACCTTTTGTTCTCAGAAATTGGGGCAGGGCAGAATTGCATCTCTTATGGTTTAAATTGATTAAAAACAACATTGGTTTTTTTTGTTTGAACAGATAAACAACCTTCTAAGGAGAAAAAGAAGAAGAAAAAAGAAGAAGAAAAAAAAAAGCAAAGAAGTATTATTTAATTGCTCAGAGCTGACCTGCCATATTATCTACCAGCCAAGGAGAGGGGTGGCATGCTACAGCATACTCTGTGCACCCGGTGGACTTCCCTCTATCCTCCCATCCCACAGCCAGATCTGGGCCTCCCAGGCTCCGCAGACCATTAACCACTTTGCAGCTTAAAAGCAAGCTTTTAGAACAGTTGAATTTTGAAAAGGCAGGGTGTGAGTTTGTAAAATACAGGATTAAATAGAGCAATGCACCTCTGCTGGGCTGAACCTGTTGATAGCACCGTGACTTTTTCCAGGCAGAGGGGTGTCCCCAGCAGGCCTAATCTCAGAGGCAGCGAGGGAAGTCTGCAGGAGGCTTTGTCTTTGACATTTCTGCCTGTCCAATACTGTGGCATTGTCGGGCACAAGCTGCCTGACAGACCACTGCTATATATAAACCAGATGGTCTTTCTTCTCTTCTGTCCAAACTCGCAGAAGGGTCTTCTGGAATTGACTCCAAGCCAGCCTTGGTAGGAGATGGTTCACCCTAAGTAAGGTTCCCATCAGAGCCAAGATTCAGGGCGATGTATGCTGGGTTACTGGCATGCTCAGAGGATTTACTAACAAAAATTTTCTCATTTTGCAGGAAGAGGAGAAGTCTGTGAAAAAGAAGAGCAAACACAAGAAGAGCAAAGAGAAGGAGGAGAGCAAAGAGGAGAAAAAGAAAAAGAAGAAGAAGAGCAAGGAGAAAAACAACGAAATAGATGAACTGGAGGCTTTTCTTGGAGGAGGAGCCAGCGTGAGCAAGCCGCGAGGAGGTGGGGACTATGAGGAGCTGTAGGCCGGCCACCTGTGTGCGCGGCGGACTCTTCTGTCGAGGCTGTCTCCATCTTTTCTTACGAGTCACACCAGGACAGGTGCAGATGTGTAAAGCTTTGGCTGTTTGCCGTATATTCTCTCAAAACAGAGCTGGCAAAACAGAAGCTTTACATCTGTGTGTGCTGTTCTGGTGCATTTCTTACACAAAGAAAATCCAGCTGAGATGTACTTGAGTAAGGGGAAGGTCCAGGGCACGGTTCCCACGCCCGCTTCCAGGCTGTCTCCTTCCAGAGACGCCCTGTCGGGTAGCTGGCAGGGTGTGGGAGGCCGAGGGGACCTGCCTCCTGCTCCGACCCTGCTGTATTCCACTCCTGCACACCTGAAATTCCTGTCTTGTAAAGAGGAGTGCAACAAAACATGCCGCATGAACGCATCGTGCTCGCCTGTCTCGAGTCTTTAACTTTTTATCCTTCCTATTTTTTTAATGACAAAGGTTGCATTGGCCATTGCTCCACCCAGCAGTTGATGAGCTTTAAATCGAGCAGATCATGCTATGGTACAGCTCTCTAAAACAGCAGCCGCAGGGCCGGAGTGAGAGAGCGCGCGTGTGATTTTGGAGTCCTTTGAACGGGACCTTTCTGCACAGCAGCTTAATTAGCACTCACTGGTGCTGCTGTTGGAATTCATGAAGCCCCATTGATTTCCATGGCCCCAGTGTCTCAGACACTACACGTAAGCTGCTATGCAGTTTGGGAAAACAATGCAAAGTGCAAAGCTAACTTGAAAAAGAGAGAGAAAAATCAGTGCTTTTCTGCATTTCCCACCCTTGAATTTGCATATACTAGAACCCCCTCCTTTGGTACCTCTCAGGGACATGACTCACGTGGAAATGAAGATATCCAGAGCTTCAGAACTGTCTGCAGGGAAGTGCTAGCATGGCATGGCATTTGCTTCTCAGGCATTTTACAGTCACACTGTAAAACACAGGCTGCCTCTCTGCACTGAGAGGGACGACCACTGTAGCTCAGACAGCGTTCTTCCCGGTCCAGCTTCTGTCGACGCTGCGGCTGCGTTTACTGGGCCGAGCCTCCCAGCAGCCAGCATGCCGCAAGTGGAGAGCCGTCTCCTGCCCCAGGAGTTTGGGAAGCCTTTTCGTTCTTGCTTTGAAGTTAGACCCGTGGAGTGGTGCCTGCTCAGCAGCATCGGTTGCCTGTGTCTCAGTGAGCAGCTCTGTGTTTGCTGGAGCGTGTTAGTTCTCCGTACCCCCGGCTATTTTGGTTCTGGTATCCCTTTCGCAGCTCAGATGGCGAAGCTCCCTCAAGGATCTGTGCATTACATTACCCTGTTGCTTGCAGGTTGATTTGAGGTTTGGTTTTGTTCGCCCTCTCCCCTTTTTTGTTGTAAAATGTCAACCATGAAATCCAAACTGGGGTTTCCTTCTGCATCCCTGTAAAGCAAGATGTGCTTTTGATCCGTTGTCCACTCCAGAGTTGTCTTGAACAGCAGACACTTACCTGCTCCATTTTTCTTTTTCTTCCACCCAGCCCCCCCAAATGCACTTGTAAGCGTTTCCCTATAAAACAAACTGAGTTCTTCTGCTGCATGAGCAGTGTATTGTTCAGGTCTGTTTGCCATTTGCATTTGCCAGCTTCTCTGAGCATTGCTACATTTCGTGTGACACTGTAGGGAAGTTGCATGGGACGGTTCAAACTTTGCACGTCTGGGGAGGAAAAAGTGGATTGGGACGCGACCGGTTTGCGAAAAGGCAGGCAGGTGTTCGAGCCTCCGCTGGCTGCGTTCCTGAAAGCGCTTCTGTTCTGTGAAGCTTTCTGGGTCATGTTCCATTTTGCATCGAAAAAACCTGGTACAATCCATTCTGACTATAAAGCTCTGTTGAACAGCTGCCTCTGCGCATCTTCTTCTCCACCACAAGCGTGTCTGCCTGGGCCTGGGAGCTGCACATCCCTCCAGGACCTCTTTGCGGCAGGGTATCTCGCTGCCCCTGCCTCATGCTGCTGCATTCTTACACTTCGTGGAACAGGGGGCTAAATGAAAAATCGTTGAATGTAAAAACCGTGCGTTCTTTCCCCAAAACTGAGGTCTGTCCTGAGAGAGCTGTTGGTTCTTGCAGCATAAGGGAGACGGTGTTTTTGTTCAGCTCTGCTTCCTTGTGAAGGCAGCTCTCGGTTCGCAGGAGGCTGTGAAGGCGCTGAGTCCCCTGGAAACACTGATGCTGGCGTTGGGTTGTCTTTCACCTGGCCAGATTTGACCGCCGTAGGAGCCTTTACACTCCCTGCGGCTCCGGTTCCTTTTCCGGGCGGAGGAGCCCAGGCCAGGGTTGTCTTTCACCTGGCCAGATTTGACCGCCGTAGGAGCCTTTACACTCCCTGCGGCTCGTGTTCATTGTCAGCGCGAAGGAGCCGAGACAAAAACAGGCAAAGATGAGTCATTGTGTTCCAAAATAATCCTTTAAAAGAGAAAAGCCGATGCGGGCGCTCTACTCATGCTGCAGCCCCGAGAGGGTGTGTGGCAGGTTTGGGCTTTGGCAGCAAGGTCGGAGAAATCCCACGCAGTGGGTGAAGCGGGACCGTGGAAGGGAGTAGCGGGAAAAAGGCTCATTTTAGACTTGGAGACTTCTCCGTTTTTCAGGGAGTGCTGAACTGGTTAGGGCTACAGCACGAGGTGTAATCCAGCGTGAGCGAGGGGGGAGAAGAAACGAACCTTGTCTGAGCTGGGCTCTGCCATGCCCAGCCTTTCCAGTAAGCTAAATATAAAAATATGCATACATGCCTGTCTTTATGGGGAAGCTTCTGCAGAATCACATCGATATAAATAGTTCCTGTGAGCATCTCTAGAGGTACCAGTGTATTTGCTTTTGTGTTTTATCAGTCATCCGAAAAAAAAATCAAGAGCTTGAGGCTGAGGAGCTGCAATTTCTTGCAGGTAGCACTGGCCAGAGCTGCGTGCCGTACAAGGTCTCGGTTGGTTTAGAGCAGCAGGAGGGAGAAGTGCAAATTCCTGGCTGCTGGTTCCCAAGCGCAGCGTGGGGAGCCCTGTCCTCGGGAGCTGCTGCGGGAGGCACACGCCTGAAAGCCGTACGGCCTGCTCCGCTGCCTCCGCACCGCTGCCTGGGTGAGATCCCAGGGCCCTCCGCCGCGATGTGATTGCGTCTTGGCTTCCACTGTGCCAGTGTGAAGCCAGGGCGTTCGTAGCAAGTCACGAGAGGCGACTCCAAGGTCTCCTGTTCCTGCCTGCTGTGTCTTCCCTGCCAGGCTCGCTCAGCTGCGGACCAGGCTTCTGCGGGATGTGGCACAGGAGCTGCCTGACGAGCAGCCGCCGTTGGCTCGAGCACCGGGCTGGCCTGGCAGCCCTCCAGCAGGAGAGGGGCTAGGTGTTTGTCCCGCAT